TAACCGTCATTTATATTCAGATCAGTCCAGTGTAAGTGATGAGAGTATATCGTCGACGATGCCCCTTGTTCGGATGATAGTTTTATTTCAAATAACATGGAAGTCTGTGAACAATCTGCTTGGTGTTCCTGTGATACTTGTCCCATGATTTGCCAGTGCAGCCCCGTGAATACATGGATGAAAATGTTTCTACCACCACCCTACGAACTCAAGATTGCATACTCCAGCATCTATACTAAATTGAATAATTTGCACACCGCACAGTGCAGTACTGGAAACAGCATTTATTAGACAGTTAGACAAAAAACAAAACAAAATGCCTGTCTCGATCAATCGCACATCCATAATGTTTGTATGTTGATACGCTTGTAAATAACGTAAATTAACATTAACGTAAAAGTCGAAACAACCTAGACTAGAAGTCAATTCACCAGTCCAGCCAACTATGGCTCCCTAAGTTGCTTATATTTAATCAGATACTATTTCGTCATCATGCTTTGTTACCTTACCTGTTTATACCTCATGAGGGCGTTTTTTGATGGCAAGATGGCGCAAACGGAAGTCCTTCGCAGGTTTATGGTTTCTCATAATTAAATCATCATAACTCTGAAGATAATCATTGTTTCTAATTTTTTTTTCAAATTTATAATCAATATATATAACTTGATAAATACAAACACCAAAATAGGCTCTATTTAGTTCCCCTTTAATTGGATTAATCATCTATATACACATTTACAAAGAAGGAAGTTGATAGAGTTATATGTTAGAAAAGTTAAAAAGACTACAAATAGCAACATAATGATTTTGTAAATTGCATATGATAAAAACACCTGTGAATATTATAACCAGCAGTTTTGTTACTGACTATCATTTCCCAAAAACCTAAATAAAAATTATTAGACATAAGGCAAGCTTACGCCATGCAGGCGATGGTGGGTCGTCCATTATTGTTTAAACAATGTCATTTTTCGCATAATTTGCTGGTTGGAGATAAACTGAAATGGATTATCCAAATTTAAACCCATGTACAAAATAATAACAATTATAGGTATAGACAGGCACAATATGCAAATATTATTGACAACAAATAATTCATTCATAAAGATACCATCATCATGAAAATGTTAAAATACCGGAGTGGTCCTCTAAATCCAATTGACACTCAATAAACCGTAGCATATGCTAAAATTAATATTTTTTTAGAAGCCATATGTTGATGCAGACAGTAATACATTACTAGTACACGTCATGGACTTTACACAAGCATTGTAGTTGCATGCCTTTGCCAACCAGTGTATGCAAACGAGATTATTATCTTAACCACAGTTTATTCCTTTATTACGCGGGTATGAGTGGATTTACATTAAAAATTAATCGACTGGATATAATTTGTACTATAATACCTAATTAGACAATGATATAAAAGCAATATAATGACAACAATTTTTGATATTGTGCATGTTTGGGCTTCCCCTTGACCCTAGTAGTAATAGACCGGTAATCGGACACCTCGGCTATAAATAAGTCGGCTTTCCATGTAACTGTCAGAAACTTTGAAAGTTATAGTACAGTCCGGTAAACGATTGGGGATGTTTCTGATGTCGAAGGCATTTATAAGTATGTGTAGCCAAAAGACGGGGTTATACACGTATGCAACATAAAAAGACAACTTCCATCGACTACGGAAGTTACTTTGTCGGGTCGTAAGATGACGACGTGTCACATCGATGCCCACCAATCAATGCAATGCCAGTGATCTAAACCGGCATTTTTACACCATCAACTCGTCTATCAATCGGCTTACCTGTCTTACTGTTGTTGTCATGTTTTACGTTCCGTTTTCTCGTTCCCATCTTTTTCGCCGTATTACTTTGAATACCTGAGCTCAGCGGTGAGTAAGTAGTGCGTTTGTAACATGTGGCACTAGTGAGAGCGCCCTCAATCATGAGAAAGTTAAGAAGCGAGATTCGCGACCCTGTTCGCAATTTCTTCAAAGTGTAGCGAGATGCCGCTATTAGTAATACTTGGGACTTGAACAAAAGTAAAAAATTAATACCAAAGGCACAACTGTTTTACAACTGTCGGCATTTGTTTGCATCGTTGAAGAAAAATGTTGTGCAACCCCTCATTTTTTCTTAAAAATAGCATTGTGATGCATATTTAGTAAAAAAGGATTCCCCTGTGGGGAAATATCCATCCGCGCAAGAAAATAATACGTGGATATTATATGACTGCTACTAATATAAGTCATGTAAATGCAACAAAACCATCAGATAATTTTGTTATTTTTTTGAAATGTATAGTTGATATCTGTATTTTTTTAATCGTAACATAACATCACAGGGATTACATTTTTGGGGCTGCGTGATTCATATGAGAAACTGATGTGATGCGGATACACATTGAAAGTCAGGTTGTGTGAGTTACAGTGTGATTCGAGTGATCGTGTTGAGTTGTTGTTCCAAGGAAAAGGAGTTTTACTACTCTTGGCAAAACTGAATATCGCCGTTTCATCAAAATGGGGTGCTGCACAGCTCGATGTACCCTGATCACCATTTGTGTCCTTCAGTTGGTAAGTACACCCAGTTTTAGTGACGAAGCCATTGACGATCATTCATTCTGTGAGAGTGGATTGAACTCAAAATGCCCATTCATGATCAAGTTTTAAAATGCCATTTGTGGTGGCACTATGCACAGTCTTGTTAACATATCTGTTGAAATCGTGACATTATTATGATATACGCCCAATATATATATTAACTAGTTATGCTCGCTATATCGCTATCATCGTTCATTTCATTTCAGTCTTGCGTTTCACTCACAGTCAACAGATGCCCCTTTTGTTGTTGTTTTGTTTAGCGCCGACGGCGTCAGAGTCAGCTCGCATTTTCTGCCACTGTCTGGTTAATGTTAAATAATCCCATCACAATTGTAACTGTAGTTTAGTCAGGGCTTTTGTAATTAACTGTTGATTATTCTCAGGGCTTCTTTAGTATGAATTTAAAAACATAAACAATCACGATCTAATGGTCATAGTGGCATCTGTTTGTGTTTGTGATCTATTTCACCTGCCTTGCTTGCATATCAAAATAGTTGCATTGTGTCCTAGCTGCATTGGACGCTACATGCCCCCGGCACAGGCCATTCACACATTTATATAATACAAACGTTGACACTTAATGCAGTCTTTCTGTTAAAATTGAAATCAGTTGCAAACACAGCACACTATGCATTCATAAACTGAAAGACTGAACCACTTCTATAGCATGGCAGCAAAGCTGGGCTGCTAGAAAATCTTATACTGACAGTATTATTAATTAATACTCAAATATAAATAATTTACATACTTGTTATCACTCTGAAAAGTCTACAATATAACACATTTTACTGTGAATTTGAATGCATGTAGTCAACATGTTATATTTACTTTGTTTTACTGAGGTTTGTGAAATGAATCTCACCACACCCTCAGTGGTTTCAAGGTGTGTACATGTGTCTTTTGTTATGACTACATGACTCTTACCTGTCAAGCATTTCCGTTCTTCTAGAACTATGTTTATTTTTTTTATACTTCACTATATTATTTATTGAAGACTTTAAAAAAAGTTAGCTAATAATTTTAGGATGACAAAACTGTCCATAATGACTCAAAATCAAACAAACTTGAAGAAATGCATTCTTAGTGCTTAAATTGCAGCAGAGTGATTTATTGTTCTGTGTGTTAGTACATGTACATCCATGATTGATTTAACATCTACATCACTCTCAGTGCTTGTAAAACAATATATCTTAACAATTATCTTTCCGGTAGTAGAATAAAATGCTGAGCAAGCAAACTCAGTCCTGCATTTAAAATTCAAACAAATTTGTAACACAAATTTTTCACCTATCCTTTCCCATTTATCTGTTTTCCCAAATACCTGTCTGCATGAAATACATGTAATCCAAAATAGATCCCCACTGAGATAATCTACAGTATTGTAATCAAGTTTTATTGAGGTCTGCTGCTTATAATCACTATTATATTTCATAGAGTGCTTCCGATAGGATATCCTTTACTGGTGAAGTGC